CTGAACTTGGCTTTCTTCATGCTTTTTCTAAAGCTTTGATGAGTAAGATGATTTTTCTGCAGCAGGAAATAATAATAATATCTAGAGCAGTTTGAAATAAATTATCCTTTTAAGAAACTGATCCTATTCAGGCATTGGCAGCAGTGGGTATTTTCCCCAAATAAAGCATAGAGGATCAGACCCTTTTTATTTCAGTTTACTCTATGCTGAGGGATGGATCCTACAGAGAAAAATAAAACCTAAAAAGCACCACATCACACACACAGAGCAACACTGCATCTATTGATTTTAACGAACAGGATCAGTTCCTTAGCCCACAGAATGTAATAGTACTGGATTATACAGAAATAAATTTTAAAAGCAGCTAATATGTGTATAACCATATATATCCTAACTGCTGGGTATCTTTAAAATGTAGATTATGAAAACAAAATGGAAATATAGACAAGAAAAATGTGACCGTTACAAATAAATTCAGGGCATTTAAATAATAACAATTACATACTTTAAGACTCCAGGCACCATTTAAGTATTAATTTTGCATATGAAACTGCTGATTGCACATCAGATCTATGCGTTTTGGGCAGCTATTTTGCTTGTTAGAGCACACATTACAATTCATTAGTAACAAGGCAGTGTTCATTGCCCCTTCTGAAATATGAAGTTTCTTTTTTTTTTTTTTATTTTGCTGGTAATAGAAAAATCAAATATTCTAAGCAAATAATAATGAAGGCCAAGAAATAGATTACTCAGCCTTCCTTTATAGTCTACTTAAAACAGTAATACTTGGCATTCTCTATTCAGTTTACATTCTTGCTTCCCAAAATAAACCTGTTTTTGGAAAAGTGAGGAAATTTCAGAAAAGACAAAACAGTCCAAAAAAAACAGAAGCAATATGGTTGAACCAGGTACTTGAACATGTGCTGGTGCTAGGCATGTGACCAGTGTTATCAACTCAAGAGGACTACTCAGTTGCTAAACTTAGGTACATGCTTAGGTAGCTGGACAGACCAGACTGCTAAAAAAGCAGCAACCCCCTTCCCAAAATGGATCAAGCTCAATGTGGCTGCAAGGCCGGTGCACTTAGGGACACACAGTACCCAAAAGTGGGAGTTTTTGCTCCAGGAGATGAATAAGCAGGAGGGGAGACACCTGTATGATCTGCTCCAGCCTCTGCTGAATCAGAGCATCTCCTGCTTGACCTGGCGCACCGGTTCCCTGGGCTGGTTGGTGCCAGCTGGCTCCAGCCCACTCCTACCCAGCAAGAAAAGTGGGCGGTTTGCAAGAAAGCTCCTAGTCCAAACTTAGAAAAATATTTGTCAACCCTGCACAGCAATGCTCCAGCACTGTTTCCACTTCAAGCTGAAGTGGTGAGAAAAACCCTTTGCAAGGAAGTTCTGTTTCATATTTATTTTGTTGGTTTGCCTGTGGATTTATGCGTGTGGGTGTGATTTAATTAACAAATCACAGCAGCAATTCCTTGAAAATGACTCTTTTTGGCCCCAACCCAACCAAGGGTTGACTGTTTGCAGTTCCCAACCTTGAGAGGCTGCAGAGCACCACTGGGCTCCAATTATCAAGATACTCAGACCCATACCCTGAAGATTGCTTTCTCCTGGATGCCACTGTGTCTGCCCGTATCTGAGCTCCAAAGACTCCCACAACACCAAAGCATGAAACAATCCTTTGCCATCATGTCAATCAGCAGCACGCTGGGCTCTCAGAATTTTATGCTGGCAATTTGGATTTGTATTAGATAGCAAAATGTATCTGAATTATAAAAAAGAAAAAAAATAACTTCCCACCCAGCTCCTGCCATTGGTCGCAGTGCCTGCATGCTTGTTGGGTGAGGCATTGTTGGAAAGATTAAATTTCCCTTACCCAATTACATAAAATATTAATGTTAATTGAGCTTATTTAGCCTTGATTCTCGTCCCTTGTTCCTTCATATGGAGGCTTTCGTATACAGTGACATAAGGACACTTACTTCCAAAGAGAAAAAAACCCAATATTTATGTTACAACAAACCCTGAACTTGCATCCCACGTAAACATGTCTTTGTATTTAGTAGCTCCCTACTTAAAACTGGGAGATTCCCCCTTCATGAACTTGTTTACTGGGGCATTTTTGTGTTTGCTTTTTTTTTCTTTTCAGTTTAGTTTTTAATTTATTTTTTATTTGGGGTTGTTGGTTTGTTAGGAGGTTTTTGTTGGGCTTTGTGTTTTGTTTGGGTTGTAGGTTTTTTTTAAATACGTCTTGTGTATTGTAAGGAAGGGCATTTAGAAGTGCAGGCTGTAAGCTTGACTTAATCTTCAGTGTCAGTTTACATCTCCCCTCTCCCAGTGATGGCTTTTTACAGCTTTTAATTTGTAACTGGCCAGTGACAGCATCATCCTTCCCAACACGAGCAGAGAGTAGCTGATGTTACACTGTCTGGATCTGCAGGCAGGCACAAGAACAGTAACAGATTTAACTTCTTGCTCTCTGGTTATCTCATTTGGCTATTAGCTCTAGAGCCCAATGATAGCATTTTGTTATTGTCTCTTCCACTGCTGATGATTTTCACAGATAATAACCATGTAATTTTAAAATGGAAAAAAAAAAAGAAAAAAAGAAGATGGAGCACAGAGAGAAAACCAAACAGCTCCAGCCACAATGTCCAAAGGAAGAGCCAGACTTCCTTTTCAAATGCTGAATAGGATAATCAAGCACCAATAAAAAAGTTTATTACATAAAAATCTGCATGACCCGTCTGTGAATGCTGAGCTAGGTGTTGAGGCCTGAGAGGAGCAGTGCATAGTTCAGCCTCTCCCTGTACTGGTACCAGGAACCTCCACCTCTCTCAAGGAGATGGGGATGCCCCTGACCAGCAGGCTACAGGTTTGGGCATTTTTATTCTCCCTTTGGTTTTATCTGAAACCAATGAATTTACTTGCAAAACACTCTAAAATATTTACAAAACACTACACAAAATAAACATGGCAAATTACAGTCCTATTTAGGATCTTACACATAAAGACAATAATAGTAACAAAACATATTAACAGTGTTTTTTTTTTAAATTACTATTATAGCTGTTTCTGTGATGGTTCCTTATATATAATGTAGTTTTTCCACATGGCCTGACTGTAAGTTTGTAAAACAAACAAACAAAAAGGGCAAAACAAAGCCCCTTCATAAGTACTACAAAGGTTAATAAAAAGTAATTTCCCCAAAACTCATTATCATCTCTTTCCTTACTGGAAGTGTGCCCAGTACATAAACTTCCTGCTTTCAAAGTTGTAGAATGGTTAAGGTACCTTAAAGATCACCAGGTTCCAATCTCCCTGCTGTGAACAGGGACACCTCACACTAGACCAGGCTGCACAAGCCTCATCCAACCTGGCCTTGAGCATCTCCAGAGAGGGAGATTCCACAACCTCCTTGGGCAACCTGTTCCAGCACCTTACTACCGTCATGGTGAATAATTTCTTCCTGATGTCTAACCTAAATCTCCCCTCTTTCAGTTTAAAACCATTACCCCTTGTCCTATCACTACTCTCTCTGGTGAAAAGCCCCTCCCCAGCTTTCCTGTAGCCCATTCAGATAGTGGAAAGTGCTTTGTATCTCTCAGATTTCCACCTTTGTGTCAAACTGGTCTGAAATTAGTGGATGAGTTCAGAAGCTACATAGAGGGTAAGAGTGGCAGTGACAGTCATGCAGACAAGCACAGCTTGTCTTGTAAGCTGACAACATTAATCCAGTTTGTAAGGAAAAAAGTCTTCAGAGGTGAGAAAAAGTGGAACGTGGATGCACACAGTTTGAAAGCTCAATAAAAAATAATAAATAATTGCAACAGGTTATATAACTAAACACATTAAATGCCAGTTTATTAGACATCACTTGAATGCTGCCCAGCCTGGAAGAGGGCCAGCAAAACTCAGCTGCTGTGTTTGAAGATTTTGCAAGGGCTAATTCAGAGCAGCTCAAGGCATCGAGAGGCACGTGCATGCAGGGCACATGGCTCTGGTGCACAGCCAGTTTGAGCTCACCACAACACCTTTTTGAATGCTACCTGGTGTTCAAGAATTTCCTTAAAGGACAGTTATCCCAGGAGGGAGCCAAGCATCCCTTCTCAGCAAAAACTATACACACATCAAATGGTAACTTTCAGAACTCAAGATATTTTTGCCACTGTCATCTTGTACTGCAAGTGGCCCTGAAATAGAAAATTGTGAAGGTCAGCATGGGAAAATAGAGGAGCCAAGTGCATGATTCCCTGCTGGATCAAGGGTTTCCTAAATCACATGTAAAGTTTGACTGCTCTGTGAATAATTTGAATTGGGCATCTGTGAAGCTAAGTTCATAGGGTAAGCACACATTTCTCAAGTAAGTGTCCCCAGTCTTTGCTGGCATATAAAACCCCATAATGAACAAGTAACACAGGCAACAACACGCTTTGCAAATTAAAAACCCAAACCCCAAGTCAGCAGGGAGAGCAGTGGTCATGAACAGTGTCAGAGGGCCAGGCAAGCACCATGAGTTATGAGCCAGGGAGTTTGACTATCCCAAGCTTACATTTAAGCTGTCTTAGTTGAGGCATCTTAGCAGTGCTTTCAAATGTCATTTAAAAGCACTTACCTATCTTCATGTCACCACACAAAGCACTAAGATTATACCTGCAAGTCATCTGGAATGCCCTCAAGTTAGACCCCCTACTCCAGACATGGAAGTTCACGGGGGGACTGACACCCCTGGCTACGACGAGACACAGAAAGTTAAGAAGCATCACAAGCACTAATGCAAGCAAAGCAATTTGCAGAATCAAAACCAGGATCAGACCCTGGCATAGAGGATTTGGAAGCTGGAAGATGGATCAGCCTAGGTGGCCCAGCAGCCACCACCACCAGCAAATAACTCCTTTGAAGAGCTTGGTGAAACAGTTTCAAAACACCCAACAGGAGCAGATGAAGAAGCTAAGTTACATACTTTCATGCTACACTGCAACAGCTAAATCCTTCAGGAAAGGATAAGTGAGCAACTGTTCAATAAATTTATATATTAATGGGGTCAGATAATTGAAACAATATAATAATAATAAATATGCAACGAATTCCCCCAATTCTTGGAAATATCCCAGGTCAAGATGCTGCTTTAGCCCCAAAGGGAAATGCTTTATGAAGTCAGATCATTGGAGAGCACAGATACATAAAATAAACCTTCATGCAGTCTTAATTACAGAAGTTACTATTGCAACAATCAATACAATCCCATTAAAAGTAACCAGTAACTTCACAGACTTGCGTTAAGTCAACTTTCTCACTGTGAATAAATCGCAAAGGATATTATTTCTGGGACAGAATACATTCTTGAAATTAGTGGGTAACTTATGCATGGCTCCCCTGCTCCAGGAACACATTATTTATTTTTACCATGACATAGCGAAGTCATTAATCTGCTGCCTTCCATTTCAACAATGTGAGATGCTGTAAAATGCAGACACCTGCATTACAGTACATTTCAGTTCCACTTTATATCAGTCATAAACATCTCTGTTTTGGACATCTCTTCAAAACAAATGCTCCAAGCACACTGTGTGTAGCATTTGATTTTATGAAACTATAAAAGTTCTTCACTGTTAATTACACAGACAAATGTCTCCTCACACATTTGGTTACCAGGATAATATAATTAGTTTTCTACATTAACCTTTCAAACACAGAGCCTGAATTTCAAGTTGAAAGCATTGTAAAAACACTCAGGCTGGAGGTATATTATATTTCTGCTTTTTTTGTGATAGTAATAAAATACTAAGAGTGAGAAAACCCAACATGCTGCATGCAAAACATATTTACTTATAGAAAAAGCCAAGTTGAACCAGTATTGTCCACAAGATATGGTTGCACAGTCCCTTTATGGGCTGTCCAAGTCTGGGCTAGAAGTCCTGTGACAGAAGGTTTATGTTTATCACTGATAAAAGCTGAAGTCAGGTCTGTTTTAAGTCTTGTCCATCTTCAAGGTTTAAGCACTTCACTTTGGACAGCGTCCTCCTTTTCTGGTTGAGCAGTCTCTTCTGATATCAGATAATTAAGCCCTTTCCTTCAAAACAGAAGAGTCCTCATCTGCATCATTCAGCAGCAATATTTGCCCCTCCAATTTTACAGACTCCTCCACTGCAGCATGTAAAAAACCTTCCTAAGCCTACCAAGATCCATTCAAAAAGTAGTTGGGCTTTACACCATCACATCCAAGGTCACATCCAGTACTATGTTCCTCTACTTGCATGGAACCTTCCTCCAATTTGCAGCACATGTTTACACAAAGCCACGTTTTGCCCATCTGTGCTTGTTGCAAAAAAGACCATCTAGGTTCAACAGGTCTTTCTGGACATTTGATCTTAGTTCATATGCCTGTTAAACAATCTGTATTCTTCTGATTTACTCATTTACCCTAGAAGCTTCCCTCAACAGGGCCTCTCTTCAGTTTGAGTTCACCCTTTGTCTCTTGAGGACGAGAGGAAAAGGCCTCAAGTTGCACCAGGGGACGTCTAGACTGGGTATTAGGAAAAATTTATTTACTGAAAGAGTGGTCAAGCGTTGGAACAGGCTGCCCAAGGAAGCTGTAGAGTCACCATCCCTGGAAGTGTTAAAAACAAGTGTAGATGTGGCACTTTGGGACACGGGTTAGTGGGCATGGTGATGTTGGGTTGATGGTTGGACTTGACGATCTTAGAGGTCTCTTCCAACATTTACAATGCTATGATTCTAAGTTCTCAACTGTGCAACCAAGACATACTCCCATCCTGTTCCAGCTAAAGCTTCACTCATTCCTAAAATGGCAGCACCATTTCAGCTTTTCTAAAGGTAATAGTTTCAGTGATGTAACTTAGCATGTGTTCACATATTAAAGGCTGCATCACATTGAGGTTTCAACAACTGATCCCATGGAACAGTTAAAACACCACAACTGAAGAACAAACTTGACTCTACACCAGTAAACTGGAGTGAACATCCTTCTGGCCTGAATTCTGGCATAAAACAGTGAAATCAAGTGAAGCAGCAATTATACCCTGAGACTCCCTATTAGTGGACAGCTCACCAAGCCAGGGGAAATGTTGGGAACCCACCATTTCTGAAGCACAATAAAAAATTACTCCATGCAATATGAAATCTTTTACAGGAAAGCTGACATGCCAAATACCACTCATCCCAGATCCCTGCCAAAAGGTGAAGTGATTTCAGTTGAGTTCAGCCCCTGAGATTGCTTTCCCCACATCTCAGATCAGTGCCTTTGTCACTAGGAATCTGGATAGAAGTGGACACCAAAGTAACCCATTGAAAATGAAGTGGAGAAGGTTATGTGGGCTCTGAGTAACTTAGTGAATTGAATTCAACTCCCAAAGAAAATTTAAAAAGCAACAAACCTGGTCTACAAATCTTGTATGGTCATACATAATTCAGTCTTGTCAAAACCAACAGACTTGGAGGAAATCTTAAAGTTGGGACACTCAGGACGTTACTGGAAATAACACCTTTATCTTTGCATAGCAACTGAAGGTGGGTTCACAGGACTGCAAATCTGAGGTTCAGTACCTGGTAAGGAAGGTCCTTGATAGGACTCACATTCTTAAAAGCTAAATTCTGACCAGCTCTTGAAATAGATGAACTTTAGGCATTTAAATGCCAGAGCACATTCTGTCACAAGGAGAAGATAAGCATACTCAAAAAAATGCCAAAACCAAAACGAAAGACAACACGACCAAACTGAAATCAAAACCCATTGGTTTGGGCTTATAGCACTGATGTCAAAGCACAAACTCCTGCACAGATGTCAAAGCACAGACTCCAGCACATTCTTAGAAGGATCCTGGCTTCAGCAAGTAGATGTCTAACTTCTGCCACAACCTTATCATGATTTAGGGTTGGAAGAGAAAGCATTTGAAGTAAACCTCTGGTGGAGCTCTCTCCATCAGGTTTACCAGGCTTCACCAAAAGTGCTTGAAGAGCATGGAATTCAAACACAAAGGAGAGCAGCCACCTTCACTTCTCCCTGGAAATGGGTGTATGGAAGAAATGTTTGCTCAAAATCCTAATGGTGAGAAGCTGAGAATGGAACTTAAAGCAGCTCTCACCCCATGTAAATATTCCAACCATCAGAAGATTGCAAACTGCCCAAGACAGGCTCCTTTTCTCTTTCACCTGCTGCTGACTCTAGAAGAGGATGGGTCCCTAGGAATTAAGGAGACAAAGACATTTTGCGTACAGATTGATTTCAGGTCCCACAACCAGGACCAATCCTTGTTGCTGGCTTGAGGAGGCAACAAACATGCACGGAGTACAGAAACCTTAAAACAGCCCACAAAAATGTTCAGGCTCTTGGTGCAATGAGGTAGAAGCAGACACCTCCAAACTTCTCACTGCAAAGGCACCCACTTTTCTCCAAAGCCTGAGCAAGGTGTGCAAGGGCTTGATTCATACAGCAAGAATCATTATTGTAGAACAGAAATCTGGCCCCTCCTCCTCTGAATTTTGCCTGCCAAATTTTTTATGAGAGGCATAGTATCCAGGTGAAGTCTGAGATGTGACAGGAGGGGGCTGGAAGCAGGAAAGGAAGAAGTACTCTGCCGCTGAGGAGTTATATGGGACAAAAAGCACACAGAGAGGAAAGATAAAGGTTCACTGATAACCAGTCCTATCATGCTGCAGTATATCACGCTCCAGACTCCATATTACTTCTCTGTTTTCTTTACACATTTTTAACTGTTGATTTAATTTAATTTTGCCATGGCAGGATTAGCAGGCAGGCTACGGAGGTGAAAGGACATTACATTAAGACAGCACATTAATCCTCTATCCCACCCAAGGCAGAAGCAAAACCAAACAAATAGCAGCTTCCTGGAAATTGAATTTCTGTTATCCAGATGTCAAAGATGTAATACCCCAATTACACAAACTATTGCCAGTGAAGCATGCCAGGGAATATGCAATGTAAATGGGGTGAGCACAGAGCTGCAAAACTGCAGAGTCAGCATCTGGCTCTCTGAGTGAATGATAATTAGCACTGTGTGTAGACACTAATAAACATTTATGTCTGAAATTACAACTTTTAGCAGTGTTAATAAAGGATATATTGGCAATTCGTAGAATAAAAGGGTCTTGAAAAGAATGTCATATTAAACAATGGCAGGCGCTTCCTGTGCTTGCACAGAGGAGTTTTTTTCCTCCCTAATTGCAAATGGCCACGCTATGTTGCTCAGAAATTAATCAACACAAGCACATACCTAAAAAAACTGGTTGTGTTTCTTTGGTCTCCCCATTAACATCATTGCTGTAGTCAGAGATCTTATATATCTCATGATGGTAATCTGGAATGAAAAACGATAAAAAAAATTAGAACTCTAGTGATCTGGAAGAAATGAACACTGAACACATTGCTACAGTTTTACTACATAATTTATCAATATATCTGCAGTTTATTTCATGTACATCAAATTAACCACAGAAAATGTGCTCTGTGCCAGCACCTCCTAAAAAACCCTTTGCTCACACTGGAGAGACTCAGCTCAAATATTTCACAGATTTGAGGGAATAGCTACGCCTGCCCTAAATTACTGTGTTCATTTTCACAGCAAATTATCCCACCAGATGCCAATTATCTGGCTTCTTGCTTTACAGATGGAAAGCAGATTTATACCAAAAACTCTACCTTTCCAGAGACTAAGGGAAACTTTCAAACTTCACCTATCAGAAAATCAGCAACATACACCAGGGCTGCAATACTGAGTCATACTGGTGTCCCTGGCCTCTGAATTCTGATCAAAGGAGGATCTGGGACACCTTTGGATATTCACTTAGAGAAACTAACATCTGTGATGACCCTGAGAATAAACATTAGCATATTGTATTCAGAAATGTCACAGGCTAAAAAAGTAATAATTCACCATTGAATTCCTATTTCAAATAAAAGAATATTTTGCTGTGAAGGTCTCTGCTATAATCCCAGGAAGGTGTCCAGTAAAACCAGAGCTTTGTTTACATGTGTGTACAGAGGGAATAGTAAGTCCTAGGAAAGAAAAAAAAAAAAAAGTCTAAAGGCAGCTCTCCTGGATGCTACTTCTGACTCAGCTACTGGCACACACTTTGTCCTTCCTTCGGCAAATCACTCAAGACTGAACAATATATTCAGTGTCTTGGAAGAGCTACCTCCCCACCTAACTCCTTTAGTGCCCTCCCAGTTCCCAACGCTCTCAGCTACTCCCTCTGTAAGCTGTTTTTTTTATGTTTACTTGCCTCATAAAGAGCCATGTAGAGATTAAGCCACAGAAGAGAACTTTGGGGGATTCACTTAAAAGACACAACTGAAACAGAGGGCAGCACAAGCATCTCCTCCTGCCAGCAGCACACCTGCACCTCTGACAAAACAGCTACAGGATCAGAAAGGTCTCCTGGAAAGCCAAACTTTTTTGTTATGTGCTCTTTATTTATACAGCACGACTGTCCCGAGGGCACAAGGGGAGGAACAACCCAATAAGTAAACTAGAATTGTGCCTAACACAGCAATACAAAAGAAAGAAAAGGGCCTAGAAGGAAAATGAGGGGGAGCGAAACACAACAGAGAGTTGAATAGGTCAGTGACAGGTGCTGCACAAAGGGTTCTTCTGCCTACTGAGCACACCCAGTGCGTGAAACGAGTAAAGGTGAAGGAAGTAAAGTCTCCTTTCACAGGGCTAAAACTACAGAACGTGTGCTGTCTGCCTTCCATGATCACTAGCTGTCCTACTGAGGAGGGGGAGTGATGGAGTGGCTTGGTGGGCAGCTGGTGGCCAGCCAAGGTCAATCCACCACACTGCATTTTCATCCTCTGAAGGGCATCCAAGATCTGATGGGAGTGAGTACATGGAAACTTGGAATTAAATGACTTACAGACTCATGGTCCTTAGATACATAGATTACACATGGTTTCTTCTCTAACACTCTGTACAGCCAGCTGGTCACAGTATTCTTCTGATCTACAGATGCTGCCTTAAAGTCACCACATTTCACCCCAGAGGCAGCTGCATTTCAGTGCAGGAATGGATTTCCCCTCGATCTGGTCATTATTGATCGTCTCAATAAGGTGCTCTGAAGTTGTTTTTGGGACAGAATAAGCACTGTATGGGCACACATTGTTAACAGATGGTTTGTTACCAATGAATTGACACAGCATACCCTGCTTCTTCTCTTTGGTTTCCTTCTTCTGCCTCGAATGTCACAGTCCAGGCGCTGTGAAATCCGTATCAATTTCACAACAGTAAACACTAAACTGTGACATTACAGAATGACTCCTGCAAGAGGCAAAGGCCAATTACAAGAGGCAACTATTTATACATAATTATCTTTCTAATCAACCATGATAGAAAAAGAGCACGTGAGTGCAGACCCACATGCAAAATGTGATTTTTATCTCCTCTGTTCTCAAAGTACAAAGACATAATTTTCTCTCTAGGGTGTGTTTTTAGTGTAGCTTTCTATTTGACTTTCCAGGTCCAAAAAGAGACCCCAGATAAAATAAGAATTACTAATAATCTACTATCATAACTGAATTCACCTGTTTAAACAAGGTTAAATAGATTGTCCTATACACTGAGGCACATCTAAACCTGTAACAAGTGGCACCTGAGAACTGCCAAAACAGCAATCTATTTCTGATAGCACACATATTCTTTTCACAGCTCCATTAGGAGAGATATAAAACCAAGACTTGAATTTCAGTTTTGCTTTTTGATGTTTCAGTTTCATCTCCCCTCCAGATTCCAGCCCAGTCCTGCACCAACTCTGCTTCTGAATCAGGAGCATGTTCAATATCAAAACACCCAAACCAAACCTGTTCTCTATAGAAATTAAAGCTCTCAGTAGGTTTGCTAACATACACAGGTCTCCGGTGTGTTTCAGACAAGCCTGACAGTTCACTGCTCCTCTAGTTTTTAACCAGGAGTACTTGCAATGCTCCATCCAGACCCCTCTACTATGATACTACAGTCATCACTTACTATTCCTACCAAGAGAGTTTATTTCCATCTTTAAATTTCTTTGCATCAAACGGGATTTTGCAGAGACCCTGCAAAGACATCACTCCTCAGACAACAAGTCTTGACACTCACGTGTACATCCCCCCTTTTCCAACTGTGACATTACACCCCAGGAGTCACCTGCCTTGAACTTGGCATGCAAGACACACATGGCATTTCATGGAGATATTCCTGTCCAATACTTGGAAACACAAAAGGAAAAAAAAATATCTCAAGTCAAATCCATCAGGTCGAAAAGGTCTCATCACCCAGAGAAGGAATAAAGCTCCAACCAAAATAAACCCCTAGGGCTGGGAAGTCCACCTGTTAAAATGCCTATCAGCACCTGTACCTTTTTATTATTAAAAAAACCCAAACAAACAAAACAACAAGACACAGATCTATGCTTCTTCCTCAACACGAATCCAAGTATTTTTCCCTTCGCAGTATCTTCTAGCATATCTTCATTTCCAACAGCAAACACACCCCGGGCGAACAAGTTACCCGCCAGCGGCTCTTCCCTGCCCACGTTCTATTCATTACTTGCGTGGATTTTTAATAAAGCAACCTCTATTCGGCTTCCCTTTGAAACAACGCAGATCTATGCTTCTTCCTCAACACGAATCCAAGTATTTTTCCCTTCGCAGTATCTTCTAGCATATCTTCATTTCCAACAGCAAACACACCCCGGGCGAACAAGTTACCCGCCAGCGGCTCTTCCCTGCCCACGTTCTATTCATTACTTGCGTGGATTTTTAATAAAGCAACCTCTATTCGGCTTCCCTTTGAAACAACGCGGATGTACACAGGCAAGGGGAGGGAAAAAAAACCCACCCAAAACACAATAAACGCGCAGGAGTTGAATACCAAGAAGCTCCGTCGCTGCTCCAAGTGTCATTAGGCACCTGAGAACTGCCAAAACAGCAATCTATTTCTGATAGCACACATATTCTTTTCACAGCTCCATTAGGAGAGATATAAAACCAAGACTTGAATTTCAGTTTTGCTTTTTGATGTTTCAGTTTCATCTCCCCTCCAGATTCCAGCCCAGTCCTGCACCAACTCTGCTTCTGAATCAGGAGCATGTTCAATATCAAAACACCCAAACCAAACCTGTTCTCTATAGAAATTAAAGCTCTCAGTAGGTTTGCTAACATACACAGGTCTCCGGTGTGTTTCAGACAAGCCTGACAGTTCACTGCTCCTCTAGTTTTTAACCAGGAGTACTTGCAATGCTCCATCCAGACCCCTCTACTATGATACTACAGTCATCACTTACTATTCCTACCAAGAGAGTTTATTTCCATCTTTAAATTTCTTTGCATCAAACGGGATTTTGCAGAGACCCTGCAAAGACATCACTCCTCAGACAACAAGTCTTGACACTCACGTGTACATCCCCCCTTTTCCAACTGTGACATTACACCCCAGGAGTCACCTGCCTTGAACTTGGCATGCAAGACACACATGGCATTTCATGGAGATATTCCTGTCCAATACTTGGAAACACAAAAGGAAAAAAAAATATCTCAAGTCAAATCCATCAGGTCGAAAAGGTCTCATCACCCAGAGAAGGAATAAAGCTCCAACCAAAATAAACCCCTAGGGCTGGGAAGTCCACCTGTTAAAATGCCTATCAGCACCTGTACCTTTTTATTATTAAAAAAACCCAAACAAACAAAACAACAAGACACAGATCTATGCTTCTTCCTCAACACGAATCCAAGTATTTTTCCCTTCGCAGTATCTTCTAGCATATCTTCATTTCCAACAGCAAACACACCCCGGGCGAACAAGTTACCCGCCAGCGGCTCTTCCCTGCCCACGTTCTATTCATTACTTGCGTGGATTTTTAATAAAGCAACCTCTATTCGGCTTCCCTTTGAAACAACGCGGATGTACACAGGCAAGGGGAGGGAAAAAAACCCACCCAAAACACAATAAACGCGCAGGAGTTGAATACCAAGAAGCTCCGTCGCGCTCCAAGTGTCATTATATTTTTTTTTTTTTGCTCGCTTCCCGATTTTACCTTTTCTCTCTCTCTCCTCCCTCCCCCCCAAAAAAAAAAAACCAAAACCAAAGCAGGATTTACCACGAAACACGATCCAACTTTATTTTGTGCAAGATCTGCCTGGAAAAACACCAAACACATCCACCTTTCCGGGCGGGGGGGGGTTGGTTCTTTTGCAACAACACGTAACACACACACGCCAAGAAAATAATTTAAGGGGAAAGGGGGGGGGTAAAGGGGGAAAAATAAAATAAATAAATGAATTTAAAGGCGAGTAATGGTTTCGAGGAGTTGAAGCAGAGGATTGCGGAGTTAAATAACAGAGCCGGGGAGGGAGAGCAGAGCGGGGGGTTATGAAACGCTCCCCCCGGGGCCAAAGTCGGGGCTGCCCCCGGACAAGAAACAAAGCCCGGGCCGCCC